CTCAGAAACTTCTTAGTGGATTTAGAAGTGATTCTGAGTTTGCCACATGGTATCACCGTGTACTGTGATAACAGTGGAGCAGTAGCAAACTCAAGTGAACCACGAGCCCACAGAGCAAGCAAACACCTAGAGCGCAAGTACCATCTGATTCGAGAGATAGTTGGTAGAGGAGACGTTGATGTTGCCAAGATTGCATATGAGGACAACCTAGTTGATCTTTTCACGAAGAATTTGCCGGAGAAGGTCTTCGTCAAACACGTGACAGGAATGGGAGTCAAGTGCATGGCGATAGGATCGACATAGGTCTTTTAGAATAATGAATTGATAGGACTATACTTGTAAAAGCGTAAGCTTTAAGTATAAGTGAGAGATTGTTAGTGTTATATACTGAAAGCTTGGCTTTGGATGATATTACACTTTTACCCTTTATGAATGAGAAAAATGTTAGATTAAACAAGTTCTACGTTCTATTGTTTTGCATTAATAGTGTGGGTCGTCATCGGGCGAACCGAAGATCATACTATCAGTTACTCGCGAAATAATAATTAATGGTTCACAACCTAGATGGACATGAACACCCCATCGTGAACGGTTGTAGTGTCAACCGTACAGTTTGTCTTGACTGATTAGTTGCACTAGTACATTTATGTATTGAACATGATCGCAGAGAGGAGCAATTCGTTTTATACTGATCGTCGTAAACGAACTAGGCCTCGGTTAATTACTGCGTGCTCTTATCCCGTAAGATATTAAACAAACATAAATGTGTGGTACTTATTACATTGATTCACATGGGTGAGGCTTAGTGAACTGGGCCAATAGACCCGCTGTCTTGTGTAATATTGCTGCATGTAGGATGTGCTGTTAGGATATTTACGGTCACCATGTGCGTTAGTTTGATGATGTCCCCAGAGTGAGTTCATGAAGGATTATTATGCTAAACCTTGCAGGTGGATTAAATTCCGTCATAGTAATAATGTGATGAACGAGCGCTAGCTTCGGTGAAATATTAATAAATTAATTAATTCTTGATTGTCAGTAATCGAATTAATTAATGGACATTATATCTTAAACATGGAGAGATAAATCGAGTAATTATTATTGGAGTCTCAATTGTAAATTGGACTAGGAAAAGGGAGTGCAATAATATTATGTTGGTAACCCATTTAATATTATTTATTTAATTAAAATAAGTGGCTTGGTCCATAAGTATTTTAATTATTTAAGGAGCCCTTATCCTAATCTTCTTAGGGTCCTTACTGTAGCTCTATATATACATCATTAAGCTCATGGGAAGAGAAGAGAATTTCACAACTTGTGAAAAACGCCCCACGCTATCTTCTCTCTCTTAGTTCCCATTCGAGTTTTATCTTCTTCTTGTTGTTCCACCGATACAAGATTAAGAGGTGTTTGAGATATACAGTAGAAGATATGTAGGTAAACCGAGACGAAATATATTTTATCATACAGAACTAACCGGAGGGCCGATCAAGACGTGCAGCATACCCAGACGACCTTCTCGACGAGAGCTTTCCAATGCCTCTGAGATAGCCGCCATCCGACGCCGCACGCGCCCTCACGCGCCGCCGCAAGCTCCCAGGACTGCAAGCTTGTCTTCATCCATTTGCACCCGTTTGATCCGATTTTCGATCCGATCTTGTTCGTGCAACCCTAAGACCTGATTTGCAGTCAACTTTTCATTGGTGTGTTGTGTACGGCCATCCAGATGATCAGCCAGATCACCATAAATTTTAAGCCGTAAGTTCTCTACGCAAACCTAATTAGAGGGCATAATTATTTAAAAAAATAACAACATCCGTAATCTTGAAAATAATTATCCTCATAATCTTTAAGGGTTAATTGCACCAAATCCCCCTGTATTATACTAAATCGGCGCGTTTTCCCCCTGTATTTTAAATATTGCGTCATACCCCCTTGTATTTAAGGTTTGCATGCGCGAAACCCCCTAAACCGTCTAAGATGACAGTAGTGGAGTGCACGCGCATGCTGTGCGACTTTTTCTTCATTTTTCCACCCTAAAGTGACTGAAATTACTGTTTTACCCCTGAAAAATACTGAAAAATATTTTGCTTATCTCAGGGTTCGATCTCAGGCCAAAATCTCTACACACAAGGCACCAAACCACCTTGCTACCATCATTGAATGATATATATTTGACACACACTTATCTAAAAGAACACGAAGAGAACAAAACTTTATCAAACAAAAAATAAAATAAAAATAATTATTTATAAATAAAAAAAATTAATTCAATAGCTATATATTATTTGTATTTATGACTTTTATTTAGTTTTTATATTATTTATCTTCTTAAAAAAATAGAGAAATATATAAATTTAATTTTTCAGTAAAATTCGTATTTTTAAATTTCTAATAAATAATTTAATTTTATTATTCTTATTTTATGTTCTATTAAAAAAAATGCTAAAATTAGAATCCGTTATAATTATTTATAATGAGTTATTAAAAATAAGAATAAAATGAGTTATTTAATTCGTATTTTTAAATTAATGAGTTATAAATTAGAATCCGTTATAATTATCTATAATGAGTATTTAAAAATAAGAATAAAATGAGTTATTTAATTCGTATTTTATAATGAGTTATTAAAAATAAGAATAAAATGAGTTAGAAATTAATGAGTTATTTAAAATTCGTATTTTTAAATTTCTAATAAATAATTTAATTTTATTATTTCTATTTTATGTTCTATTAAATAAACAATGCTAAAATTAGAATCCGTTATAATTATTTATAATGAGTCATTTTTAGTTAAGAATAATAGAATTTTTTATTTACGTTCTACAATTTAAAATATAATTATTCAGTTAATATTTTAGTACATGATTTTAATTATAAATAAATAATTTTAATTTTTATATTTTATTTAGTAAAATTTATTTTAATTTTATTTTATTGTCTTAAGTTAAACAAAATAAATATAGTTGTTAACTATGAAATAAAAAGAATAATGCAACAAAATAATATGGAGTAATACAAATTAAAATAAATAATAAAATATAAATGTATATGAAAGTATTTAAAACAAATACAATAAATATTATTATTTTAACTGTAATTTTTTAGATTTATTTATATTTTATTTTAATTATTATCTTTTGTTTAATATAATAAGTTGTTTAAATTAATTTTTTTTTTGTTTTATTTTATATAATTTAAATTTTTTGTATTCTAATTTATCTTAATTTTTTATGTTTTAATAATTTAATTTAATATAATTTACATTATCTTTCAAATTTAATTTTATTTATCCATATACAATGTTAATATATATTAAATAAATGTTAACACATCTAACACATAAGCATGAGTGGTACAGTGGTTGTATGCATGCTCTTTCCTCAAGGAGATTCTAAGTTTGAATCCTAGAAGTGACATTATTTTTTTTATTCAAATTCTTGCGATATATTCAATTTCTCGCGATATATTGAATATATCATGATAAATTCAATTAATCAAAAACATATATATATATAATATTCGGAGGGCATAACGAGAATTTTACAAAAATATGAACCCCGGAAAAAATGCACAGATTTAATATAATACATAGGGTTTGTTTCAATAAACCGCTTAATTGATAAAACTTGACCGTATGACAATACATCTTCTATATGTCATATATGTATGTAATCTTACCGTGGCTATCGAGGCCCAATAATAAGCTGGGTGAATCAACGCGGCAACTTCGACCCAGGCAGCTCCTCCAGTTGAACAACCACAAAAGGCACACTTTTTCAACACCGACTTTGGTTCCTCAGGCACCATTCCATGGTTTCTCTCTGATGCACAGAAGCTCTGGAGTTGACTCATGCGATCACAAACGCATGCCACACACATCGTTTTATGCTGCAAAAGCGAGCCCCGATAATTATCAGATCCTGACGGAGTTTGATTTATATAGTACCTGCACACCGCCTAATCAATTATGAATCACCACCTGAAAGAACATTGATCACGAGGTATGTAATGTATTCATTTTGGGTATTTTTATGTTCAATCGAGTTTTATTTGTCGAATGAAGCGTGGTTGAGCGGCCAAGTATAGATTTTACAGAGTCCCTTTTCTGATGGGAAAATTTGAGAGGTGCCCGTTATTTTAATTTAGTGATAGAAATTAATGATTGTGTTGTAGTTCTTGTTTTCCTCGACTTCATGGTCTGGTTTGATTTGACATGTATATTCTTTGTAGCCTTCTAATTTACAAAGAATAAAAGTGCATCACTTCAAGCATTAAGACAAGGATTCTGGGCTTCCTTCCTTGGGAGTTCAGAAATTGATGCCGGTCCTTTGATTTCTTATAACGTAAATGAGCTGATTGTGCTATATCACAAACCTAGATAATAGGAGAGACCAGTTTATTATTCTCTTCCATTGCTTTTTGTTCCTCTCTTTTATGTATTTCCTACCCTTTCCCTTACAACATGACATGGTATTGCTTATTTGTATGTTTGGTGTGTAGAAAATGTAGAACGCATATGTAGTGTGCCTCTGTCTGTGTGTTTGTGTATGTATATGCACCTGTTTGCGCATGAGAAATGCATGTATTGTATGAAAAATGTCAAACGTGTGTGTAGTTAGTTTCTTTAGTGTTATATATCTGTACTATGCGCTTGCGATGCGTGTATTTTGTGATTTTATACAGTTAAAAAACTGATACTTGGAATACAAATTCTCATTGATACTCCACCATAATCTCTTGGTCGGGACTCTATTTGCATCTTTTCATTGTTTGGTTGCCCTATACCATGGAAATGTACTTGCATTATTTTTTCAGTAGAATCCGAGTCAGATTGTTTTATCGTCATCTTTTGTTTCTTACTGCTGCTACAGGAAAATTTCTTATTTTGCAGGAGTGCAAGTTTTCTTAATTTCATCAGGAGTTGTTTCAACCTGAATGTTTCCAATATCCATGTTGGCTGAGCATGTTATGTTTTAATCGGATCAACTAAGTTGATCATGAAGCGTTTTGTGTATATAAATGATGACGATGTAGCTCAAGATCTCTACTGTGACAATCGCATATCAAACAGAAAGTATACTATACTGAATTTTCTACCTAAAAATCTATGGGAACAGTTCAGGTAAACATATTTTCTGTAAATTGTCTCCATCAATTAATTTATGCTGGTGAATTATGTTTTGTTTAAAATTTAATATAGGGCTATAAAGTACGGATGTACATTTCATTTTTGTATGTTCATGCATGTTTCTTTTCATCGAATTACCATACTTCTTTACCTGGCTGCAAGTAAAGTCGTTTGCATGCTCTTCTTCTTCACTTAAGGTGAAAAGCAGCATATGTCCATTAGATGAGCTTGTAATAAAAGTTGTTTTTCATTTTCCTAGAACAGTTTGGACAAATGGAATAATTTATCTCTGTTCGCCTAACCTATTTCTCAAATAAAAAAGTCCATCTTCAACCATCTAAATTCTACTCTATATTTGCTTCTCATAGTTTGTTTGCTATTATCAACTTAGACAATGGTTTTGTATTGAGTCATAAATTTATCTAAAGTTGACTTGACTGTGCAGTAATATCTGCTTTAGTTATCTGGATTGATTTATCTTCCCTTCATTTTCTTTTGTTAATCTAACAACTGTTATCTTTTCTTCCAGCCGATTTATGAATCAATACTTTTTGTTGATTGCTTGCCTTCAACTATGGTCTCTGATTACTCCCGTGAATCCTGCAAGTACATGGGGTCCTCTTATATTTATTTTTGCAGTCTCTGCAACAAAAGAGGCATGGGATGATTACAATAGGTATCTCTCAGATAAGAAGGCAAATGAGAAACAAGTCTGGATAGTGAGGCATGGAGTTAGAAAGCTTGTAAGTGTTATTATTTATTTTTTATTTTTTTTTAAAGTATATATTATTTATTTGCTTTCTGCTTATCTCTTGATCTTCGATATATCTACTTCACATTGTCATTACATTCAATTTGGATTTTATCACTCCAATTGTTTCTTATAGTTGCCTTGTTTCATTCACATTTTCTCAGATTCAAGCCCAAGATATTCGTGTCGGAAACATTGTCTGGCTGCGTGAAAATGATGAAGTTCCTTGTGATCTTGTTTTGCTTGGTACAGGAGATCCGCAAGGGATTTGTTATGTGGAGGTAAACTTTTCTTTCCAGTATTTCTGTCTAATTACATGGATTGGTTTCTTATTAGGTATGTCTCTTGCTTTCGTAGGATTCTTATAAAAATTTGCTTCGATTTCAATTTGAGAATATAAAATCAATTATGCTCTGAGATCTATTGCATTGGCGTGATTGGCTTTATGTAAAATTGAGACTGAAAGGCGGATGCCCTTCGGTTATGCTTTTATCTTAAAATCTTGCCTAAGTTATGTGGATAAATGATCATTAGCTGATGAAATAGTTCAGGCCATTTAATGTCGAAAAAGAGATGCCCTCGACTTAAAAGGTATTCATTTTTCTTCCTATCTTGCCAATCTGTGGATATAGATCTTCTGACATTTTTTTTTTTTATTTTTTTATTTTTTTCTTCACTCTTCAACATGCATCTTATGACTCAATAAAATACTATCCTTTGCTTAGTGAATGGTCTGACAACTTCATGAATTGTTGATGCTGGCACTCGACTCAGTGGTCTCAATGATTGTAGATCTTTCTTATCATGTTGTTTATAATCTGAAAGTCCTTTCTGAATTTAGTACTTTCATATTTTCATATGTTCTGTAGATGATATAATTGTGTTGTGTTCTGCAGACAGCCGCACTAGATGGTGAAACTGACCTGAAGACACGATATATACCTTCTGCATGCATGGGAATAGATGTTGAGTTGTTGCACAGAATCAAGGCAAGTTATTCTTGTAAGTTCTATAAAATAATTCACTGCTTGGAGTTGGAACATATCATGTAGTTTTTCCGTCTCTTGCCAGGGCGTAATTGAGTGCCCCAGCCCAGATAAAGATATTAGGCGATTTGATGCGAACATGAGACTGTTTCCTCCATTTCTTGACAATGACGTGTTCCCCTTGACAATAAAAAATACACTCCTTCAATCATGCTACTTGAGGAACACAGAGTGGGCATGTGGAGTTGCTGTATACACTGGCAAGTGACCAACTTCTTATGCATCATAATCTAACTTTGTATCATCATCATCATCATAATTTATGAATTGCTTTCAATGTAGATCTCTTTCTGAGAGGCCAGATGTTCAAAGAATAGTGTTCTCATGTTTTTTTTTTTTTTTTT